TTAACACAGGAATTTTGCTGACAAGTCTTACCCTTTTCAAGGTTTAAATCCCAGGGCTCTTGAGCTGTGACAATTTAAATGAGAATGATTTCCAAAAACTGATGAGCGAAGTTTTAAATGTCTCATGGATACACATTGCCAAATCCTCCTTAAAAGTCTTCTGTAGGATAAAGTTGTTTCATGAGACTGCCTGGAGCAGAAGGGTGAGGGGTTTGAAAGACTCCCACAAACAAAGCCACAAAGTAGTTTTTCCTTTGGGGAATAATTCTAGAAGGTCAATTGGGAGCCACAAGGTACTTTAGATGCCACCTAATCCCTTATTTTACAGATGGGGAAGCAAATGAAATGACTTGCTCAAGATCACACAATTTAGGGACGGACTCTGAGTAGAGTCTAGGTGTCTTGACTCAATCCTGGAAGTCTTTCCTTAATGTTACGTTGCCTTTGGGTCATCATGTTTATCTCAAGTAGAGTATGGAGCATTAATCCAAACTGAAGGTCTGTGAGACAGAAAAGATGCCTAGCCTCCAAAAAGACAAAGATTAGGCTCTCTTCTGGACATTCTACCTAGATCCTTGAATTCTCAGAATTTCCTTCAGCTTCTTCTAATCTTTCTCTCTCTCTCTCTCTCTCTCTCTCTCTCTCTCTCTCTCTCTCTCTCTCTCTCTCTGCAATTGGGGTTAAGTGATTTGCCTAGAGTCACACAACTAGTAAGTGTCTAAGGCTGGATTTGAACTTAGGTCTTCCTGACTCCAAGTCTGTGCTCTATGCACTGTACCACTTAGCTGCCCTCTAGCTTCTTCTAATCCTGACCATAAAACAACAAAATCACAAAGGCTGGAGACCAGTGCTTCCCCAACCTTACCTCTACCTCAGTGGATGAAATGAGACTATATTTACAAAGTGCTTAGCACTGTGCATGGCAAATAGGAGGTGCTTAATAAATGCATATTTCCTCCCTTCCTCTTTCATTCCCTTAACTCAAATCCTCCTAGTATTGAAGAAACTAGGAAGGACAGTCTAATTTTCTAAGGACAACTATATGTAGAGAATGGATAACAGATTCCCAGAATAGCTGTTACAAAGTAAGCTGAATGCACGGGTAATCTAATAAGAAAGGAGGCAGAAGAAACTTCCAGAAACCTCAGACAATGTAGTACAAATGTCAGAAGGCTGGGGTACTCCCTGGCCCATACAGCTACCAGGTATAGCACATAGCACATAGCAGCCTGGTAGCTGTCCTGATCCATTCTGTACCTACAAACAGATTCAAGCAGAATCCTAGAGTGTCTGAGCTGAAGAGGCTTTAAAGCCTGTCATCTACTCCAACTGGCTCATGTTACATATGTGGAAGTAGAGGCTTGGAGAATGCAAGTATGACTGCCCAGAGTCACAGAGTACAACTAGTCAATGGTGGACTGGGCCTAGAATCCGGTTTTCCTGACACTCATAAGGCAAAGTCATAGGATGGTCAAAGAATAGCTGGTATCACTAATCAAAAGGCCACTCCACACAAGGTGATCATTGTGAAAGCTCTCTGATCTAACATCAACCTTCCCAACTTCACATGTTAGCAATATAGCAGGCCTCCTTCCTTTGCCGTCTCCACGCTATGGTTTTCTTAGTGCTGAGTCTCAGCTTTCCATGTTGTTGCTCAGTCATTCAGTCATGTCTGACTCTTTGTGACCACATGGACCATAACATGCCAGGCCTTTCTATCCTCCAGTGTCTCCCAAAGTCTGTCCAAGCTCATATTCATCACTTCCATGACCCTATCTCTCCATCTCATCCTTTGCCATTCCCTTTTCCTTTTGCCTTCAATCTTTCCCAACATCAGAGTCTTGCAATGAGTCCTGTCTTCTTATTACATGGTCAAAGTATTTAAACTTCAGCTTCCATATTTGACCTTCCACTGAATAGTCTGAATTAATCTATTTAAGTATTGACTGATTTGATCTTCTTGCTGTCCATAGGGCTCTCAAAAGTCTTCTCCAGTACCATGATTTGAAAGTGTTGATTCTAAGGCACTCACCATTCCTTATAGTCTAACTCTCACAGCCATATATTGCTACTGGAAAAACCATAGCTTTGACTGTACAAGTTTTGTTGGCAGAGTGACGTCTCTGCTTCTTAGTATGCTGTTCAGAAATGCCATAGTTCATTTCTTTGTATATGGAAATGCTGTTTTCCAAGTTTGAGAGGGGGAAAAAAAACTTTTAGAAGAAAATATGCTTTCCCTAAACAGGTTATTTATTGTATGTCTTAGGCTACAATCCAGACAGCTAACACTCTATGGAATAGCTTGAGTCATAAGTACCCCTATATCCTACCTCCTGAAGCTACATCAATTGAAGTCCTGCCCCTAACCTCTAATGGGGATTAGCTTTGGAAACAACATATAAACTGAGCTTTGTAGCCCTTGCAAGGTAACTTCACAGGGTGACCTTCTCCCAGCTATAATATGTTCTTAGCAAAATAGGCAATGTGTTTGATACTGAGTATTCTGCCTAATTTTTTAAATTCAAAAATTTATGATAAATTTAAATGCTAACAAACATGAGTATTTCAAAGGCCAAAGACCAGAAAGAGGTATATAAAGCTATAAAATTCTATTTTTTTAAAGTATACACTAAATTTAACACTATAGTCAAAAACAAAAATTCCATGCTTGTTTGTCTCTGTCTGAATGTCCTTCAAGTCCCAGCTAAAATCCCACATTCCACATGAATTCTGATCCTTGAAATAACCAATCACAACTCCAGAAAGCTGATTATGAAGCATTTCCCACCTCTTAGCAAAGAGATGATAGACTATTCTTCCTAATATTAATGCCTTTCTTCTTCAGATTATTTCCAATTTATCCTATATAAAGATTATTTGTACATAGTAGTTTGTTTATTGTATCCCTTATTAATTTGTGAACTTCTGAAAGTCAGAGGACTGTCTTTTATTTTTCTTTGTATCCCCAGGTCTTAGTACAGGGCTTGGCACATAGATGGCACTTAAAAAATACCTATTGATTGAATTTTCTTCTCTTCTTTTGTGTACTTTAAAGTGTTTCATTTAGCTCTTTTCTTTCTTTCTGTTTTTAAATCATTATAACTATCTATAAACTCTGTCCCTTCAAATAAAAGCCATCCCTTTTAACAAATGAGCATTGTCAAACAAAATAAATCTGTACATTGGCCATATCTGAAAATATATGTCATATCTTGTACCTCTAGTCCAGGGGTGGGGAACCTGTGGCCTTGAGGCCACACTTGGCCTTCTAGGTCCTTGGGTATGGCCTTTTGACTGAGTCCAAGTTTTACAGAACAAATCCCCTTAATGAAAGGATTTATTCTGTGAAGTTTGGATCCAGTCAAAGGGCTGTGCTTGAGACCTAGAGGGCCACATGTGATCTTGAGGCCACAGGTTCCCTACCCTGTCTAGTCTATCACCTCTTTGCTAAGAGGTGAGAAATGCTTCATGATCAGTTTTCTGGAGTTGTGATTGGTTCTTTCAATGATCAGAATTCTTAAGTCTTTAAAGTTGTTTTCCTTTACATTATTTTAGTAATGTAAATTGTTCTCCTGGTTCAGCTCACTTTACTTTGTACCAGTTCACATGTCTCCCTAAGTTTTTCTTAATCTATTCCTTTCATAATTTCTAAAAGTACAATATTATTCTATCATGTTCAACTCTCCCCCACTTGATATTTCCAGTTATTTGCTACAATAAGGATTGTTATTACAGACATTTTTTGTGCTTACTGGTCTTTGATCTTTGGGGTGTAAGCCTAACAATAGTGTTGCTGGATAAAAGGCTATACATAGCTGAGTAACTGTTTGAGTAGTTAGAATGTAAATTTCTCCATAAAAATGTAAGAGCTGGAGTTTCATTTTTTTTTATCTCCAGTGTATAACCACTGCCTTACACATAATAGGTGATTAATAAATGTTTGCTTGTTGGTTAAATCCTCAACTGCTTTCCAGAATGGTTGGACCATCATAACTCTACCAACAATGCATTAATATTTTTGCCCATTCACATTTTTCTTTTTTATCACCTTTGTCAAATTGATGGGTGTGAGGTGGAATTTTAAAAGCTGTTTTAATTTACATTTCCCTTATTTCTAGTGATTTGGACCATTTTTCATATTTTTATTGATAGTTTACATTTCTTTCGAGAACTTACTGTTCATATCTTTTGACTGTCTACTGGGCAATGGCTTTTGTTCTTATATATTTATATCAATTCCCTATATATTTTGCATATCACTGTAAACATTTTTTTCCTAGTTAAATATTTCACTTGTAATTTTAATTGCCTTGATTTTGTTTATGCAAAAATGTTTCAATTTTAGATGCTCAAAATCACACATATTATATAACCTGTGATCCTCTATATCCTTTGTTTGGTCAAGAACTCTTCATTTATCCATTTTTCTCAAAACTATTTCCTTTTCTTCTCCTTTAATTTGTTTAGATATGACCTTTTGTATTTAGGTTATTATGTATCTATTTGGAGCTTGTTGTTATATGTGGTGTGAGATATTGGTTCAACACTCATTTCTGCCAACCTACTTTCTGAATTTCTCTCTCTCTTTTTTTTTTTAAATGAGGAGTCTTTATTCCAGTTGTTGGTATCCTTGGATTTACCAAATACCATGCTACTATGGTTGATTGCTCTGGGTCTTACTTACTAAATCTCTTCCATTGATCAACTTTTCTATTTTACAAATAGTTTTAATGATTACTGCTTTATAATGTAGTTTGAAATCTAGTACTATTAGATCTCCTTTATGCCTTTTTCTTTGTCCCATGACTTCCTTTGAGATTCTTGGTCTTTTGTTACTCAAGATAAATGTTGTTATCATTTGATCTAATTCTGTAGAATAACCCTTTGTTAGTTTGGCATGGCACTTAATCTATGAATAAATGTAGGTGGTATAATAATTTTGATTATATTATCCCAGCAAAGCCATGAGCAATCAATCTCTCTCCAATTATTTTTCTTCTTTTATTCTTGTAGCCTTCCTAATATCGAATACAAACTAACAAAGATGAGATCAATGGCTATTGTGCTCTCAGTCACATTTTTTTCTTTCTCACACTTTGTAGAGCTCTAAAAATACAGGGACATTTCCAAGTCACATTCACTCAAGGGTTCAGGGTGGAGATTGTTTGCTGTTCTTAGCATTCTTGTCTTCCCAAAAACCAGTCTTAGCCCCTCATGCTTCAAAGTGAGAGTGTCCTGCATCTTGGTCCTGACTTTTCCTAGGAGATTAGAAATAGCACAGAAGTTATCTTTAAAGACTTAATTTTCAGTAACCATGTGGCATAAAATCATTATAGCTAATTCCTTTGGTATTTCATGTGTCTAAGAACTCAGGTGGCATAGTTTTACACACAAGAACTCCCTGGGAACACACAGAATTAGATAAATATAACCACATACTCAAAGAGAAGGTGAACCCAGGGACATCCAACTCCCATAACCATTTTGCCATAGTAGAAGGTTCTACCTGTGTAACAGGTGATTGAGAAGTCCCTTGCTCTGCTAGAATGGGGTACTTCTCATGGACATGGACATGATCATTCTAACTCCATGGGGTATAGGACAGGTGCATGCAAACCTTTTGTTAAAGGGTTTATATGACACAGAAACTCCAATTGATCCCTTGGTCCCTATGACTAATGAGCAACAAAGGACTGATGATTGAACCAGGAAAAGCATCTACTCAGTAGTCTTTTAGAGGACCTGAGGAGAAAAGACTCACCTTTTATTTATTTTTTTATTTCTTTTTGTTTTCTAAATACTTTCTTGGGACTTTGCCAGCTTTCCCTTGCACTTCCACCAAGGGCAGGAAGATTTCTTTCTCTTCCTCCCCCGGCAGTTGGTGGCTTCAAGGACATGAGCTATACTTCTACTTTGTTTAAGAGATTTTCCTTGAAACTCGAGGTTTAGGATAAAGAGCCAAAGAGTATAAGAAAAAAATCCTGATAATTTCTTTTTGGGGTCAGTCTCTTTAAGGATTGAACCCACTTTCTGTGAATCACAAGTAGAAGAACCCTTTTAGAATGGAACTCTTAGAGCCACATATGCTATCTTGAAAGTTTAGGCTCATGCCTAGGATCTCACCTAAAAGAGATACTTTTTTTTTAAGAGGCAATCAGGATTAAATGACTTGCCCAGGATCACGCAGCTAGTAAATGTCAAATGTCCTGAGGCCATATTGGAACTGAAGTCCTCCTGATTTCAGGACCAGTGCTCTATCCGCTGTGCTACCTAGCTGCCCCAAAAAGGTACTTTCAAGAAAAAAAAGTACTCTGTACAAAGTCAATATCAGATATAGACAAGGATGTGCTGGTAAATGTTTAACAATCAACTCTCCAGGAAAAAAAAAGTACCACGACACACTTTTATGTTTCATTTGCATTGAGACTTTTAGTGACATTTTTTAAGTTTACAAAGTCAGTAGAACAATAAATCAAGTCCTGATTTGTATCATTTGCCAATTTCCGAGGCATAAATGCTCATGCTGAAACTTTAACAATTGTCTTTTGAATCAGTACAAGCTATCTCTAGCATACCATGTTTGGATGGATACTGGCCAGCTATTTACTTCCTCTTCTTCAAAAGAAATGCTTGAAGAACAAGATTCAGAAGCACACCTTAACTAATACCTAAGACATGGAACAATAGTTACTTATTATGCTCTCTCAAAAGTTAAAAGGCATTTTGTGAGACTGCTGGACAAATGTTTTCTCTCCCTTCTGACTTGTACTGTGTATGCAACTCATCAGTCTGAGTTTCAAGGAGAATGAGGGTTGGGCTTTCTTAGTTCTTTTGATTTCAGAATCCTTCAGGCACTAAAGCATCTTTTCCTCTGAGGAGTAAACTAGTTGCAGAAGATACTTCCTGCTGGTAATCAGTTGTTGCTGACTTAGGAACTCTTGACCTCTCATGAGCCAAGACTGCAAACATCCATCTGATCATGGTTCGTAAGGAAAGGAATGCAAAGAAGAAGAGACATAAGGTCTAGGTATAGTGTCAGACTCTCCTAGGAAAGCATGAATTCTTGCTGTCATGTACTTATAGTAACCATGGCAGCCTGGGTGGGAGAGAAGAGCAATTCCATTCCTCCCTGGTTGCTAAAAATCAAAGGAAGAGCTGGCAGAGATTCTAGCAGCTTAAGAGATGAAGAGGGGTCAAAGCTTTTCTCCATAGTTCCTCTTAAGTCTATTAAGTGGCCAGCTCCTCCTGGTTCAATTGTCTTGGATACACACCTATCACAGGGAGCTAGGGACCCATAAGGGTTGCTCTGTCAAGCATGCCATTTAGCAAGGGGTCAGAGGCTCTTTTCCATCACTGACAGAACCAGAGAAAGCACATCCTTTTCTGAGCATTAAAATGTTTTGCATAAGGGTGTAGGATTAAAGCTGGTGTCATTTATAATAGCAGTAAAAGCCCTGCTTGTTTCTGCTAATATGTGTTGACTGAAAGCCAGAGCAATGAGAGAATCTGGTGCACCCCCCACCCCACCACCCCTGTTAGCTAGAGCTGCCTCCATAGCTCAGCTGTACTGTTTTCTTTGGTACTAACGCTCAGGTACTTAGTTATATCTCAGGGGGGCAAGGACATTATGAGTATTAAATGAGATAATAGATGTACAGCACTTTGCAAATCTTAAAGCACTATATAAATGTTAGTTATCATCACATCACCATTATTGTTATTATTGTTGTGTGGCAACCAGGCATCCGATCTTGTGTTGACTTCAGTCCCTGGACCTTGTACTGTAGTCCTGTAGAGCTCAAGCAATGTTTATAGAGCAATACAGGGGTGTGCTGGTAAATATTTAAAAATAAAAAATGTGTACACATACCTTTCAAGTTTCATCTGCATTATTAACACTTTTTAAAGTCTAGAAATGAGCAAACAATAAATCCAGTGTAGTGACTGGGAATTTCTGAGGTAAATTTAACAATTGCATTTTGCAAGCCTTAGAGATGGCTCCAACATAATCCTTCAGGAGAGTCACTTTAATATCTTGAATTAAATTTCATGGTGAACCATAGTTGCAATTACATATCCCTAAATATACATACATTGTTGTTTTTCAGTTGTTCAGTCATGTGTGTATATATGTGTGAGTGTATATGTTATATATGTGTGTGTTTGTATGTGTCTATCTATCTATCATCCATCCATCTATCCATCTCTCTCTCTCTCTCTCTCTCTCTCTCTCTCTTCTCTCTCTCTCTCTCCATCCATCTATAAATTTTCTTCTTCCAACAGCAGATTCACCCTGATTTACACCATCCTGCAACAACAACAATAAACTAATGTCAGTCGCTTGGATCTCTTATCCTTGAATTTGGGCCACTTATCTTTGGGTTTATATTTGTCTGGTCACTGATTAAGTGTTTTGGAAATCTTTGAAAGCAGAGAAATAATTTTACTCCAGGCAGGAGAATAGATGACCTAACCACATGTTATTTTTAACCAGGTTCACCCTGATTATAATCCTATTTCCCTTCTTAATAGTTCTTAATAATCTTATATTCACCCACCTGACGGTCATAAAAGGTAAAAGCTGAATATGGAAGGGAATGTCCTCTTGTCTTTCAGTACAGATCTTGGCAATTGGCCATGTTTCATTGAGATTTGAGGAGAAACACAAAACTCTGTTGCCTAACTATATTTTGCCTTCCAACCAGGAAATACTAACCTAAGCCAAAACCTAAGCATTAAAGCCTGGATATATGATCTATTAGAGCTCCAAACTCATTCGTCCTTGGATATACATCTCCACTTGTGGAAATCATTCTCTTCTCTCATTTCAAGTCAATTCAGTTCGAGTCAAGCTAATGAGTATTTTATTAAGTGCTTCCTACTTGTCAGGTACTGTGTTAAATGCTGGAATACAAATGCAAACAGAAAGATGACAGCCCCTGCCCTCAAAGAGCTTACATTTTAATAGGAAAATACAACACATAAAAGGAAGCTGAAAATCTGGGAGGGAGAGGAGTATAAAGTACCCAGGCCAGGTTATAGTTAAGTAGGTCTGGAGAGTCAGGAGTGGAGATTGGAGAGGAATGAAGACCTAGCTGCCCTGGGAGTTTCTGGGAGGAACCAGACAATCAGAGGAAGGGGCTTCAAGGGCAGAATATTTTGTATTTGTGTTTGTAGTCCAGGAGCAGAGTGAACTTCCAGGGTGATGAACCTTCCTTGTGACTAGAGCATTGGATCTGGAGTAAGGAAGACTCGTTTTCCAGAGTTCAAATCCAGCCTCAGTCATTTATTAGCTGTGTGACCCTGGGCAAGTCACTTCACCCTGTTTGCCACAGTGTCTTCATGGGTAAAATGATCTGGAGAAGGAAATGGCAAACCACTCCCATATCCTTGCCAAGAAAACCTCAAATGGGGTCACAAAGGGTCGGGCACAACTGAAAAATGACTGAATAGCAAAAGTTGTGTCACACATGGTGCATATAAATCTATCAACAGGCATTTATTGAGTGACTATGATGTGCCAGGCAGAGAGAGAGCATAGATGATAAACCACTAGCTTTAGGGTAAGATTCAGGTTGTGGGTTCAAGTACTGGTTGTGATAAATTGTGTGTTCCTGCCACCTCACACTCTCTAAGACTATTAATTTGTAGAGGAGTTTTAGATCAGCATTGGTAGGAATTCCCTGTATCAGTTAAATCACAGGTGCAGATCATTCCCTCAAAAAAGATGGTAGGCACATCCTACCATGTAACATCCCCTCTGTTGGATAGGAAGCTCATTGTAAATCGAAATGATTTTTTTTCATCTTTGTGTCTTCAGTGTTTTGCAAATGATGATGATGATAAGCATTTATATAGCACCTACTATGTGCCAGACATTGTACTAAGCACTTTACAAATGTTAGCTCACTTGATCTTCACAACAACTGTGAGAGGAAGGTGCTATCATTAACTCTATTTTACAGTGGGAGAAACTGAGGTAAATAGAAGTTAAGCGACATACTTAAGGTCACACAACTAATAAATGCCTGAGGCTGGACTGGAGTTCAATTCTTCCTGACTCCCAGCCTACCACTCATCCATTATACCACTTAGGTAACCTAAATATTTAATGTTTTTCGTTAAAATGATGATGATGATGATGATACAAAAGGCACCCAAGAAGTCAATCAGGTATGTTCAAAGCATTGCCAAGAAATGACATCCCAATCAATAATCTTTTGTCTTTATATACTATTTTCTATTTTATATATCACCT